GCAAGGGGCCGGGGTGGGGAAATTGGGGCAGATAAGATCACACACACACACCCCCTCTCTGCCAGAGAGGCTGGAGCCAGCCGGGAGCAGCCAGCCACTTCTGTCCATGAGCAACTCCGCCAGGCTCCAGCTGCAACTGCTGTGCATCCCGCCCTATGGAGGTGGAGGCCAGTTACTGTGGGTAACAGGACTTTTCCCTTTTCGACCGAACTTCCCAGTTGAAAACCGGACACCTGGCAACCCTAATTAGACTGTTCGACCCCAGTGCTACTCCATAAAGGCCCCTGTACAGAGGAACATCACCCATTCTGACCGTGATAGGAGCAGTGGGTGCAGCTGAACACAGCTGAGCTACCGAAGTAGCCCAGGACAAGCCATTCAGCACCATGAAGTAGCAGAGAGTTCCTGGAGCAGATGACTTGGGGAAGTGGATGCAGAAGCCAGGGGACATGATGACTGTGCCTTCGTGAGAAGGGGGTTTCTGAGCTGTTGTGCCATTGAGCCTCAGATCTGAATGCCGGTATGTGCTGCATTTCCTCTCCTCTTCCTGTCCCATGCAGGAATTCCTGCTGCTCCCTTCTCCGGGCAGCCTGGGAGTTTTGCCAGCTGTTGAGTTCAATGTGGCCAGCACGGTGGATCCCACTGCTAAGATCCTCACCAAGGTCTCTAAGCTTTTGCTGGAGGATTTGCCCAACTCTCTGAACCCAAAGGCGGCTGATGCTGAAACCAAAGGTAAGCTCTTCCCTTGGGGACCTTCCCCCCACTGCCCAGCTGGACACCAAGTCACTGTCCCACCCCTGCCTGTATAAATCACCTCTGTGCAGTGGAACTGCTGTAGATATGTTGGGCCAACGTGCAAGGGGGCGTGGTGGAGGGGACGTCTCACCATTCATATCACAAGAATCCCCCCCTACCCCCTATTGCACTAGAGGGGCACTAGAGGGGCCCCTTATTGGCTTGGCCAGGTTTTTGTTACCAGATCTACTGCAGTAGCCTGAAGGTTGGGCCCCATTGTGCTAGGTGCTGTACAAACAAATAGCAGATGACAGTCTGAAAGACATAACAGGCAGATGACAGAACAAGACATAACAGAACAAGTTGGTGTCCGGTGCTTAGCATCTATTACTTTAGCATCACACCCACTAATGGATTTAGCATCGTGGCACCCCTGTGAGTAGATTAAGTGACTTGCCCAAGATCACACAGGGAGCGTGTAGCAGAGCAGGGAACTGACCCAGGTCTCCCTCCAAAGTCCCAGGTTGGCATCCTGACCACTGGGCCATCCGTCCCCTCAGACAAGCAGGCTGGGTGGGGCGGGGCCAGGAGATGTAATGGGATGTGCCAGTTCTTAGGGGGTCAGGAGACTGATTCCAGCTCCCCAGTTTAGCTCTGATCAGGATCTGCTTTACTGCATGCACTGGGGCTCTTGCGTATAGACCTGGGCTCCCTGGCAGGCCTAGCTGGACCCACTCCCTTGGCTGTAAGAACATCAGAGTGACAGAGCTGGAGTTTTTGTTAAACCCTCGTTTCCTTCCTCCCACCGCAGAGACACAGACACAGACACAGATGGGTGGCTGCGACTGAGCATCAGAGCCGGGCTGTGCTTGTGAAATCCCGCCCAGATGCCTCTGTCTGTGGGAACAGTTCCCTCCTTGTATCTAGAGCTTTCCCTTTCTCTTTTGCTCTGCAGAGTCAACAGAGCCAAAGGCGCTTGCTGTGGTGAAGGCAGGTCCAGCTCTGCCCGAGTGTGAATTAAGAGCGGAGCTTCTGAGGGGTGAGGCAGTTCTGGGTCTGAGTGCAGCTCAGAATAACACGTGCTGGGAGCCGGCCATGCGGCTGGGTGGGAAGAGTAGGAAAGTGTGCCTGTAACCTATGAAGGGGACTGGTGTTTCCTTCTTGGACTGTTAACAATATAGCAATTTAGCAAGCCAAGGCCGTGCCTCAGGGGGCTCTGAAAGAGGCTCCAAAGAGTTACCATTTTAGAGGAAAATCTGCAATCCCTAGGCAGGATGGCTTTGTGTGGCAAAAGTGATCTGGATTTTACCCCTGCCTCTGACACGGGCTTCCTGGGTGAGTTTTGGCACTGCTGTTATCTCAGCTGCCCTAACAATAGGGGATCAGAATACTCGGTTGCCTCACAAAGGGGCAGGGATTTCAGTCATCCACCACCCCCTCCACCCCACCCCGCTTCTCTCCCTGGCAAGCATCAGGTGCCTGCTCCCGCCCAGCCATATTTAGGCACAGAACTTTCCCAGGGGAGTGCTGAGAAATTCAATCACTGCAAGCAGCTGCCAGGCTCCTGGCACAGAGCAGGGATTCGTCTTGGCTGGTCACATCTGAACTGCATGCCTCAGGGCACAGCATAGAATTGAAGTGAAGGGGCAGCCAGTCCACAGAGAGCTGCTCCAGACATAGGGGAAAGGGGTAGCACCCTCCCAGTACATTTGACCCTCCCCAACCCACCCTGCCTCAAATCTTAATTGATCTGGGCAGTCTCCTGGACTCTGCTCCCTTGTTTTAAGAACTTTGTGTCTCCCTGGATGTTATCGCTTTACATCTTTTCCCTCTGAACAATCACCCCGCTGGGTCTATCAGACGGTCTCCAGTTTGGCTTGTTTAGCTCCTGCTTTCAAATAATGGGCAGTGCGGACTATTGTGCCTGGGTCCACAATGAAAACCCGGCCCTCTGAGAAAGGGACATAGCCCAGTGGTCTGAGCAAGGGGCTGAGAGCCAGGAACTTCTGGCTTCTCTTCTCAGCTCTGATGCCAATTCCTAGAATGCCCTTTTAACCCTCTCCACCCCAGCTTCCCCATCTGTAAAACAGGGATATTAGTATTTACTACACACGTTTCTAATATACCCATCACCACAGTGCCTGGAAGATCAATCATTAATACTTACAGCGCAGGGCTGTTACAGGGATTGGTTAATGTCTGTAAAGAGATGTGTTAATAAGCAGTGCCATATAATGTTTGAAACATTATTAATTGTAATAATGTTATTTATTATTAATAAATAAAGGTCCATAGGAGCTAACTGAGCAAGGTTATCTCCAGGCAGGACTCCAATGACTGGGGAGCAGTAGCACCCCAACAGGGGTCAGTGCATCTACTGGGAAATGCTGGGGATAGTGGGAAATGCTGTGAAATAGTTCTTAGTACCAGAACAAACACAGTGCTGGCAGAAGGCCACTGGCAGCATCCTCTTCCTCCTCCTCTCAGAGGATCTCAAAGCACTTTGCAAGAATTCATTAATTTAACCTCCTGATACCCCCCTGAGTATCTCTATTCCCATTTTACTGCCGGGGAAACTGAGGCATGGGGAGGGGATGTGACTTGCCCGAAGTCACACAGTGTGCCCATGCAAGAGCCAGGAACACTCATGACTCCCAGTCCTGTGCCTTACCCTCAAAATCGCTTCTTCCACCCAAACGGGCTTTGCATTTTCCATCTTCAGAAAATTTTACATAGCTGAGGGATGCCCGGGCTGGACTCCTGACATAGGCAGGGGGTGGGGGTTGGGGAGGAGCAAGGTTAAAGGAAAATTAAATTGTTTTAGTCCCCCTGGTTTACACTGTGGATGTCCATGTTGCCCACAGATCATCAAAATTTGACCTTCGACCCAGACACAGCCAATAAGTACCTGCAGCTGTCCAATCAGAACCAAAAGGCCAAGCACACTCATTCTCCTGATGGCCTTTGTCAGGATCATGCCGACAGGTTTGAGCTGTGGCAGGTTCTGTGCAGCCAAAGCTATAGCCAAGGCCGCCACTACTGGGAAGTCAGGATCTCCAGCCACTCCATCATCCTAGGTGTGACATACAAGAAAATCCAGAGGAAGAAGCAAGCTGGTCGCTCCTTCAGCATCGGGCTGGATGGATTGTCCTGGGGGCTGCAGATCCGGGAGGACTGCTACTTGGCATGGCACGAGGGCCAGTCACATAAGATCATGGAGCCCTTGTACAAATGCCTCGGAGTCAGCCTGGACTATGGCAAAGGCGTCCTGACGTTCTATGGCATCGGGGACAAGATGAAGCTCCTCCACTCTTTCCACTGTGTCTTCACTGAGCCCCTCTACCCAGTCTTCTGGCTCTGCGAAGGCAGAACTGTCACCCTTTGCCAACAGAACTGAGCCAGCAGCTGGGATGCAGAAGCCAAGCCATAGCCAGCGGGGCGTATCCTATCTTGCAGCCAGCTGCCTGGCTTTATTCGGTGGGCAGCCTACTAAAGCTACAGCCAGGACTGGAGGTGTCACAATGCAGTTGGTTTGACAGGGCCGAGGCGACAGGGTTGCAATGAATTAAAGACGGGCAGATGAGGCAGGGAGCCTGAAAAGCACAGAAACATGACTGGAATGAAAATTGCCCAAGTAGTTCAGCCATATGTAAATTAGAGTTGGGTGGCAGGAGACCTGCTTCCTTACCTGTCACAAGGATCCCCTGGTGGAAGAGCTGAAGCTAGTGGGAGTCACAAGGCACCTGGCATCAGTCTTGTTGCGTGTGGACGGCATTGCCTGTCTCCAGCCCCCGTGACGTAACAGGGAGAAGTAAGGGTCCTGTGGTGGCACCAGTGAAAGGGCTGCTGTTTGGGAGGCTCTGATGAGATGGTGGCAGGAGGGGAGATAGCACAGCTTGGTCTCCCAACCCTCACTTTCTCTGCCTCCCAGAACCTTGGACGGTCACCTCCTGCTTTTTGTTCTACAGAGCAGTTGCTGTCAGAGAGGAGCCCTTGCATAGGCACCGACTCCATGGTGCTCTAGCCGCGGAGCAGCCACGTAAAAAAACCAGTGGGTGCTCAGCACCCACCGGCAGCCTCCCGGATCAGCTCTGCCTCCTCCCCCTCCCTCCTAGCACCCCCCGCCCTCCTCGATCAGCTGTTCAGCTGCCTGCAGGAGGCACTGGGGAGGAGCGGGGGCAGGAAGAGGCTGGGGAGGGGGCAGAACGGGGTGGGAAGAGGCAGGGTGCGGGAGGGGTTTGGGGACTCAGAACATTCAGAGCACAGCGGGGGTGGGGGATGAGAGGGAAGTGGACTTTTCCCTCTGCTCCAGGGACAGTCAATTCCCATGGTTGGGTTCTACTTGTTTTTAAAAGTCCCCGTCTGCAATAAAGCTCCATTTTCTAATGCTGTGAGAGTTCGCCTGGGAGCTCAGGCCTGGTGAAAGGTGCTGGATCACCAGACAGCCTGGAGGAGGAAGTTCTAGCTATCCACCAACCAGACACAATGTGGGCAGCAGTAGGGTGAGCTTCCCATCCCCCTGGCCTGGCCATGTGCCTCCCCAGGGGTCCCGTCCCATCCCTTCTGTGTGTGTCCTTGTCTCGGCTGATGGACTCCCCGAGGGAGATGAATGTGTTTCTTCATTTCAGCCAGCGTGGTTTGGAAATGTAAGAGTTTAAAAAAAAAAAAAAAGAAAAGGAAAAAAAAAGAAAAGGAACCTTATACCCCACAAAACAACTATCCGCTCCAGCAGCCCCTGCACTGGGCAGCATGGGGCTGTTCCTTTAACTGGCCAGGACTTTGCTCTTCCCCATCACTCAAACTAGGCTGCGCTGAAGGGTGAGGCTGTGCCGTGCTGGGTGGCACGGGAGTGTTGTGTAGCGCCGGTGCTGTTACCCTGCTTTGACAGGCCACCGAGCGGTTGGAAGCAATGGCCGACCACGTCCAGCCTGTCAGCCTGCCCCTCATCCCATCCGCGTCCTCCACAGCTCCCTTCCCGCCTGCACAGCTTCACCTCCCAGCCACGTGGTGAAGTGACCTCTAGGGGGCGTTGGCTCGGTACCTTTTCCAGGATAAAGATTTGTTGCTCTCTTGCAGCTAGCGGGTGTCTGGTATCAGGGCCCTGGGTGATGCTCAGCAGAGAGGCTCACGGAAGTATTGATGTACTAAATCTCCAGGGAAGTCCCCTACCCACATCCACTTTACACCAGGAGTGGATTTGGCCCAATGACTCTGCTGTCGCTGCTGGACTCTCACAGGTAATTTCCCTCTCCAGCTGCCCTGTTTGAAATGAGTTTGACCCTGATCCCGTTCCCAGCGGCCAGGTATCCACATCCCAAAATACCACCACCGCAGCTGGCCTGACTTGGTGCCCGTGTTGGCAGCCTCACTGGAGATGGTAAAGGCTGAATGGGCCTGAAGCCTGAACGCGGTCTCCCGCCTGCCCCCCTACTTCACAGTGGACAGAGGTGCATGAGTGGGGAAGCCTCCGTTGCCACTCCCTGAGCCATGCCATGTCTGTGCATCAATACAAGGCAGCTACGCCCTGTCTTCTAGCTCCCAAAGGGTCCATTATAAACCCCCTCTGTCCATATTCCGCTCACACCTGTCCCAAACCCATCCCTCATGGCTCTGGGGCAATCAATCACCCCCTCACCCACCCCTCTTAGCAAACATGTCCTGCTCAGGAAAGATGCCTCCTGGTCCGTGAGCTCGTCCCAGACAGTGCCTCTCTGAGCCCTGGCACTACCCCGGGGCTGCTCCCTGCCTGTGGAAGATGTTGCTCTGCCCCAGGGCAACGCCTTGAACAGCCCTGTGGCTTGGGCCAGCAAGGTGGGTTTGCAGACAAAGCTGAGACTGAATTCAGATTCCCCCCCTTGCCTCAGCTTCCTTCTCTGACCATCCTGTTTCCCTCCAGGTCAGGGGTGGCTCCGGAGCCACATGCGGCTCTTCAGAAGTTAATATGCGGCTCCTTGTCTAGGTACCAACTCCAGGGCTGCAGCCACAGGTGTCAACGTTCCAGTGTGCCGGGGGGTGCTCACTGCTCAACCCCTCGCTCTGCCAGAGGCCCTGCCCGCCCCCTCCCCCCCGAGCCTGCACTGCCCTTGGTCCGCCCCACTTCCCCCCCAGAGCCTCCTGCATGCCATGAAACAGCTGATCCGGAAGTGCGGGGAGGGAGGGGAAGGTGGTGGGGGGAGCTGCTGAGGAGCTGCTGACGTATTACTGTGGCTCTTTGGCAATGTACATTGGTAAATTCTGGCTCCTTCTCAGGCTGGCCACCCCTGCTCTAGGGTTAGTGCTTCTTTCTTCCCCACCCCGCATCCAACTGTGGAGATTGGGGCATCCCACTGGATCTGCATGGGAGGAAGGGAGTCGGCAGGAAAAAGGTGGGGAGTGAGTTAACTAGGCCCCTACTGCCCCATCTGTGCTCACCTCAAGCAGCCCCTGCTGCAAACGCTCTCCTGCCCGGCTTTCCATCCACCATCATGCTTCCATGTCAATGTCCAATCACTCCCTCGCAGAGGTTGGCTCAGGCAGGGTCCATGCGAGCTGGACCCCAGGGTTGGGCGGGCAGGGCTGCAGAAGGGAGCTGGAGCAGCAGGGCTGCCTGACTTGGGAGGAAGCTCAAAGACTCGGGTGGGAGGAAAATGAGCCAGTTAGGGTGAAGGCTGGGAGGGAGGCTCTGCCCTGCAGGGAGACCTGGGCTGCAAGGGGGATGGGAGGGGGGAGAAGTGGCAGAATTTTGGGGATCCAGGTCTCCATATAGCTTTTATTTTTCCCTGTTCAGGAGGACAAAAGTTAAGCAGCAAATCACCCAGCTCCTTAGCCTGGGTACCGCCCCATAGCTCCGGCTCTCCACAGAGCCCCTGTCCAACTCCCTTCACCTGGGTGGCATCTGGAGCAGCCATGGAAGGGGGCACCCTTCCTGACACTGGCTGGCCATTTGCCTCCTGCCCTCTGTTGAGGCTGCACTGTCCCCTGTCACACCAGCTCCCATGCTCGGAAGAACATGAATAGCAGATGGCCATATTCAACACTGGCGGCTATTGGCTTCAATGGAGCAGCGCCCGCCTCCGCCAGCAGTGATTTTGGCCTGGGGCATGCAAGGCGCCAGGCCAGGGGGGCTGACTCGGAGAGGAAGGGAAGGAATCTGTCTCACACCCCCAGCAGAAAGGGTTTGGGACGACATGAGAAGGAAAAGGCCTGTATCTCATTGCTCTGCTTGCTTCGAAGCCAACCAGGGGTGTGGTGTTTTCAAACCTTAAAAGCAAACACACAGAAAACTGACTGTCCAGCAGGAGATATTTATACAACTGACCTGATACTAGAGAAATAAAAATGGCCTGATATCAATGGCTGGCCTAGTAACTGGATTCCAGCACATAGAAATTCGAGAGACTGGCACTGTGTAACTACCCTGGGCTGGGATCCAATCTCGCAAACTCTTACACACATGAGCAACTGGAGGCATGTGAGGAATCCCATGGGAGACTTGGTGCATTGCTCCCCGGCTGTAGGTAGGTTGATGCAGATTATGTTTAATGGGCTGAAAATGGTGGATTCTGAGCAAGCAGCAGTTGTGACCAGGTGTGTCCAAAACCCCATACACAACCCCGAATCCTACTAGCACTGATGCCCAGGCCAAATCCTCCAGGTGCACATAGTCCCATTAACTCCAGAGGGACTGCTCATGCTGTGTGTTTGCAGGGGTGTGGCCTGTCTGAGTCTCCATGACATTTGCTGCTATTATTTGTATTAAGGCAGCACCTAGGAGCCCAGTCATGGCTCACAGCCGCACTGTGCTAGGAGCTGTACATGCAGGGAACAGAAAGACAGCCTCTGTCCATGACAATGGGCCTGGAAAGCCAATGTGCCCCAGATTGCTCTGAAGCCCTCCTCTCTAGGGGAAGGAGAGTCGCTCTTCTTTGGTGGGAGAGAAGGCTTGGTGGGGAGGAAACTTGCTCTGATTTTTTTTTTTTAATTCTGACACTTAAACTGACCTTTTATTCAATCCCCGCCCCCCTGTTGTCAGTGAGTGCACTGGGGGGGGGATCCGTGCTGGAGGGGGGCTGTCCCATGATGTCACTTTCTCTTGAGAGATGAGGGGATCTCCACTGCAGGGGGTACCCCCATACCACTGTTTTGGGGGATCCCTGCTCCAGGGGGTACCCCCATGTCTCTGTCTCGGGCGGATCCCCGCTGCAGGGACCTGCCCCCCACCTCCGTTTCTCTTGGGGATTCCGCGCCCCCCGCCCCCTGGAGCCGGCCCCAGGGCTGCCGCTCTGACACCAGTTCCTGTTGGGCGGAGCTGGCCGCCCTGCTCCCGGCTGGCGAGGCCCCCAGTTCCTCGCACTCGCAGGGAGCAGCCCGTCGGCGCGGCATGGAGGGCGGCTCGGCGGGCGGCGGCGGCGGCGGCCTGCCCAGCCCGCAGGACTCCCCCTTCGGCTGCCCCATCTGCCTGGACGCCCTGAAGGACCCGGTCACCATCCCCTGCGGCCACAACTTCTGCCTGGGCTGCCTGGGGGCGCACAGGCACCGCCCGGGGCTCGGGGCGGGCGGCGGCCAGGGCGCCCCCCGCTGCCCGCTGTGCCAGGAGCCCTTCCCGGCCGACCTCCAGCTCCGCAAGAACCACACGCTGTGCGAGCTGCTCCAGCTCCGCCAGCCGCCGCCCGGCGCCCGCAGCCCCGTGGCCCCGCCGGCGCCCCCGGGGGAGGAGGCGGCCCCCGGCCCGCCGGAGCCCTGCGGCGCCCCCCAGCGGCAGGAGCCGGTGCTGTGCGACGTCTGCCCCGAGGGCGGGCGGGCCACGGCGGCCCAGTCCTGCCTGGTGTGCCTGGCCTCCTTCTGCCCGCCCCACCTGCAGCCCCACCTGCGGAGCCCGGCCTTCCAGGGCCACCGCCTGGTGCCCCCGCTGCGCCGCATCGAGGACAGCCTGTGCAAGCTGCACCTCCGGCCGCTGGAGAGCTTCTGCCGCACGGACCAGGCCTGCATCTGCCAGCTGTGCCAGGGCCAGGAGCACCGGAGCCACGAGGTGGTGGCGGTGGAGGTGGAGCGGGAGCACAAGGAGGTAAGGTGGGGGCACAGAAGGGGCTGCGGGGGGACCTTGCTACCTCTCTGAACAGCCCTCGCCACGCTGGGCGCCCAGACCCTTGTGGGGTTTGCTCCCTAGGGCCAGGACAGCAGGGAGAGTTGCGTTGAGGGGCATCAGAGCTGGGATAGCATGGGGCTGTCCTGTGGGTCAGGACTGAGGGGCATTGACAGGGCTGGGTGGGGGGAGCCCAGCACTGGGATAGCAGGGGGCTATGGGTCAGGACTGAGGGGCATCGGTCAAGCCGGGGGGAAGCGCAGGGGTGGGATTGCAGGGGGCTGTGAGTCTAGATTGAGGGGCATTGGCAGAGTGGTATCCCAGGACTGGAATATTAGTGATGCTGCAGGGCAGGATTAAAGGGCATCGGTAGGTCTGTATGCGGGGAGCCCAGGATTGAAATATCAGTTAAGTCATGGGTTGGGGAGGGGGTTGTCTGTTTTCCAAGCTGGGAACACAGTTTGGCCCCTTTCATGCATGTAGGACCAAACCTGTTAAAGCACAGTGCTATGACATAAGCACTGTACTGTGAAACTGACTAACAGTCAAGGTAGGATTTTGCCAGTGGAGGGAGAAGGAAGGGGAAAAAGGTGTCAAAATCCCAGAACACTCTGTGCTTGTTAACTTGAAAACTGTGCTCTGTTCTCTGCAATTCCCTGGAGCTGCAGCCAGGCGGGGGGAAATCCGCATTGGAAAATCCACTGACAAGATGGTTTTAAGTAAAAATAATAGTTTAACTGGACTGCTACAAAGGGTTCCATCTGTGCTGCCAGATTACACACATGCAAGAGATCTGGTAATGTAACTGATTATGTGTGGGTTTGGGGAGGAGGCAGAAACAAAAGTTTGGGCATATACAGGTTCCTTTGGGAGGTACTGGGCCAAATCCATCCCTGGCCTCACTCCATCGCCTTCACTTGAGTTAAACCTGGGAGCAATTTGTCCACTTGCGTCTCTTTCCCACAGTATCTTAAATCAGGTCCTTTATTTCTTTTGGCTCCATTCCCAGACTCCAATCCTTGTCCATTCGTCTTTTGTGTTCTGTCGGCAGGCATTTTTCCATCACTCCCGTTCCCAAATGGGTTTGACTCATCGACCAAATTCTCACCCACAAGGTTTCCTTGAGCTGTCAGTTTCATTCTGGGTCATCTGCAGTAGTTGGGAGAAGTTCCCAAAGTGAGAGAGGAGGGGCAGCTTTGCCCGGCGTTGCCATGACCTGGTTAATGGCCACTGCCCTCTACTGGTTAGAATCAGAGTTGCTGAAGTGCCTGTGTTATGGCTCTTATACTGCTACCACTTCATGGGGATTCTCCTTCAGCTCAAGTGGCAGGGGACTGTGCTATTGGAGCGGATGGATCTGAGTCTGATTCCCGCTGGTGCTAGGAAGCTCTGAGTGGGCGTAGTTGTTAGAGGCAAACCTAGGCGATCACAGATCTGATATATTGTGGGGAGTACTGGGGTGGAATTAACACATGCTATTTCATCTGGTTCTTGAGGCCACCCTCCTGCTGCAGAGAAATCCTCTTGCCTTTTATTATTGAGTGCCATCGGTGTGATCTGCATGGTGGAGAACACAGAGGAAGGCAGGATCTCCAAGGAGCTGCCAGCCTTAGGCAAACAATACTCTGCCCACCGGATCTAGCATGTTTAAGGCAGATCATATTGGAGGCACAATCTACTGGACAGTGTTGGCTCTTTCATATTAATGTAACTACTCACAGTGGTTTGACGTGAGGGATGGGAAGGGGGGTAATGCTAAGGATCATGCTTCACCACCCCCCATGCATCAGGAAGATTAGTCCAAGATGCTACCTGGCAATGGAGGAGGGTGGAGTCAGCTTCTGGGGGCAGAGGTATCAGGCAGCTGCATTAGGATCTGAAGTTGCCATAAACAGCCTGGATCGTGTCAATGTCAATTTCATTGACCCTCCCCGCTCCCTCCCGTGGGTTCTGCAGCTTCCCAGGTAAGATCTCTCCCTGCTCTGGTCTTCTTATGCTCTCAGCCACTGGCATGTGCCGTGCTGTTGGTGTGGTTTGGCGTGTGGCTGGCTTTTTCACTTCATCGAGCGACAGCATATTGTGCCTTGCTCTCAATGCGCCTCTCTCAGGCCGATGTTTATCCAAACCCCGAGAACGTTGCTCGTGTGCAGCTGTGGCTGCAGCCACATACTGTGCCCCTCACAACCTTCACGAAGGGGAGAGTCTTCTTCTCAAAACTCAAACCTCAGACACCCAGGAAATGTGGAGTCAAGGGCCCGCCCCTCATGCCCTTTACAGTTGCATTGGCCTGAGGACACAACGCACACTGCAGCCATTAGAACACCAGGCAATGCAGAGTTAAGGTGATGCTTCCAACACACCCAGCACAGCTGCACATGTTCTAATGTGTGTTGTGGTGAAGCTGACCCTCTTGTATGGGGCGCACAGGGGCCTTTACGCAGCATTTCCTGGTTATCCAACCTTTGACCTTCAGCAGCAGTCCTCTCCCCTTTGAAAGGATGCTGGGGAATGTCAAATCCCCGCTCTGGAAGGGGATGGGGAGCTCACTACACTGCTGTGAGGCTGCAGCTGTTGCTCCGTGTTTAACAAAGTTTTTTGCATTTGAATTTCCATTGTTGTTAAAGCGGGAGGTAGCAAAGGATGGGGGTGTGGTCTAAGGGAGATGGGGCCGATTGGACACTTGGAACAGAACGACTCCCCTGCCTGGGGAGTCCTAGCAGGTCTGTTGGGACCGTGCCACTGCCCTCTTGCTTTCTCCTACTCCTTCGACACCCACCTGCCCCTAACCCTCTTTCCCTCATATGCCACCATAGCCCTGCTCACTCTGGGGGGCCATTAATAGGGGGCCCCATAAGAGTCCTAGATGTGCAGGACATGGGTCAGGTGCGGGGGAGGGAAGCAGGAAGAGATTGCTGTTGAGGGAGTCATCTCTGCCCTTCCATCCACACCTCCCCCTCCAGAAATTCCCCCTCTTCAGCTCCAGTAAATATCCTCATGCCCCTGGCTGCCAGTCCCAGTCTGACTCACCAGTTCAAGTGGGGGATCTGTGCAGTGGGGCCTGTTGGGATGGGGCAGAGATGGTTCCCTGTCTCCCTAACGACAGTACCCCTTACCTCCTGCATGCCCCTTTCACTCTACCCATCCACAAAGCCTCCCTGACCCCCCCCATCAGTGCCAATGAGCATGACACCCCATCCCTGCCTCTGCCAATAGGTGTGCCCCTCCCCTCCCTGGCCCCTGTTGCAGGAGCTATTAAGACAATGAGCACAGGAGTTGAGTGGAACACCCTGCATGGTGAGTTTCCCGCCCTGCAAGGTGCTGACGATGCACACGCTAGCTGTTCAGAGCGTTGGTTAATAGGGGGTACGAAGGTGCGACTGGCGTAACGGGTGTCCATTGGGTCCGTGAAATGCCCCATCCAGTTGGGCGAGCCCCGGGAACTGCCATGCTTCGACTGGCTCGCTGTAGGGGTCGTTCCCATGCGTAGTGCTCAGCAGAGTGGCGCAGTGGAAGCTTGCAGTGTTGGAAGCCAATGGGGTTGACCTGCACAAGTTTGAATCCTGCTCGCAGCGAGCGGCTCATTTAAACAGGTTGGACAAACACCTGCCAGGACTGGTGTAGGTTTACTTGGTCCTACCTCAGCGCATGGTGCTGACCTCACTGACCTCTCAAAGTCCCTTCCAGCCCCACAGTTCTGGGATTTTGTCCTTCTAGAAAAGAACCCCAAATTTCTCCTGGGCCGCTCGAGCCCCAAGGGAAGGCGGAGTCCATCGGTGTCTCCATCTCTGCTGCAATGTGAGGACGAAGGAAGGACTCAGCATTTGCAAACGGACCGCCTGCTTGATTTCTGGAATCCCCTGTTCGATTTGCCTGAATTTTGGTAGAAAAGCTCTGCCTTGGCCTCAGAGGCATCCTCCTGATTTTCAGCTCAGTTGGTTTTTATTGGCAGGCTTTAGAGGGGTGGCTGTGAAAAATAAGGGTTATCGGGGAAAAAGTGTTTGTAACCTTAGTGATGGAGCGAGTGCTGTGGCTCCCTGCAGGTGATGTGTATAAGCCGCACCCATTCGGAAGGCTCAGGTTCGGAATGCAGTCCCGGTATGGCAGCTAAACGCACCTTTCAGCAGGGCTGGTTTCATCCTTTTTGTTTTAAAGGCCCAGCGACCCAAGATCCTGAGCTGCGTGGAGAACCAGCTGGATGAGCTGGGAGTCACCGTCGCGCAGACCAGGAAGACCGTGGAGCTCATCAAAGTAAGATGATCTTGTTGTTATCTTGCCCAGGGCTTGAGCTGAGCTTGGAGCATTTTCTTCTCCCTTCCACCTCCCCTCTGAACTTCGTCCTCTAACAAATGCCCTGGAGAGCCCCCCTAGAACCGAGAGCGACTTCGGAGAGACTTCTAGAGGCGGCTCTTCCCAGTTCGGGAGTGCTCAGGTGCTTTCGGAAAGCATGGTGGCCACCCAGCCTGCTGGCATCTGACTTCCCCGGGGCCATCTGACCTGATACACGGCCCCCAATCTGGAATGTTGTCAGGATAGGAAATACTGCCTCTGTGGAAACCGTTTCTGGGACTGAGGTTGCTCCCCGGGAGGAACTCAGTTGGGGAGGTATTTCCTTTAGCCCGGTCAGTCGCCATGGCAGCCACATACCTAAGCTTTTAGCAGGCTGATTATACTCCAGGGTTGCTTGTCTGTCACCCATTCACCTCTACCGTTCACCTCGCTTTCTGCTCCCATTTGGGGAGGTATTGTGCCTGTTCGATGCCTTGATCACATACCAGACTGTGGATTTGGCATTAACTGCATCTCTGCATGAGACAGCAAAGCACAGCCTGAGGGAAAGTGCTGAACTGCCATTTCCTGTGGAGAGAGGTGGGGGAAGTGAAGGGAGAGATGATCAAAGTGAAACAAGTTGGACAAGTGCAGCCATGCTCCATGGAAATGCAAAGGGACACAGTGGAGTCTGTTGGGGTCTATTCCTGCCTCTGTTACTGCCCCCCTGTCTGACCTTGGTTCACTTCACCTCTCTGTGCCCCCGTTTCTCCCTGTGTAAAATGGGGGCAGTAACACCTGCCGACCTCAGAGGGGTGGGGTGTGGCACAGGTCTTGTCTACACTGCTTGGAGTGCGTTTTGTGGCACCACGTCAGCTGCACTGTGCAAACCCTTAATGTAAGCACAGTGCCCTAGTGCAAGTGGTGGTTTGCTCCGGTGCAGCTACATTGGTGCCAAAAACCCCAGTACAGACAAGATCTTAATGAACTGCCGCTGTTGGTAAAGAGCTTTGAGATCCTTCCGTGAACTGAGGTATAGAAAGGGGAAAGCTGATTACTAATAATGCAGATGCCCATCTTTGTGTGCATAGAGCGCCGCCCTGAAGGAGAAGGAAAATGTTAGCAGGCTCTTCAATGAAGCATCCAGAGCTCTGGTGACCTTCCAGAAAGAGGTGACTGGCTTCATTGAGGATGGCGAGCGATCCATGCTGATTGAGGCTGAAGGGGATCTCCGGCAGAAGGAGGAGAGGCGTGCCAAGCTGGCTCAGTGCAGGCAGAACCTGGAGCGGGTTCCGAGCACGGATACCATTTACTTCCTACAGGTGCGCAGGGACTGGCCAGGAGCAGAGCAAGTGCTGGGGCAGGGTTAAAAGTCACAAATGACCTGAGGTACTGATCTCCGCTAGCCCTTCTTGGGGAGCTGGAATGTGACACTTCCAAGCCCCTCTCCCTCCAAACTGCAGTGCAGCTCTTGGCTAATCCATTGTTCAATCAGGATCTGACCCAAAGCCCACTGCAGACAACAGGCATTTTTCCATTGCCTTCAGGGGCCTTTGGGTCAGGCTGCTAGGGAGCAACTTGCCCACACTCATGGTTGCAAATGGAAGATAGACAAACACAGGGAGCAGAGGTTCACTGTCAGCAACGGGCGCTGGGAGTGGGTGGGAGCGGCGGGGTGCTGGGAGTGCATGCTGACCTGCACCAAGTACATAGCTAGATACTTCCCAAATTATTGTTAACACTAAACCTTTGTTATAACGGAGGGCATGACTCTGTGAAGAACAAGGGCCCAGGAGCTGGCAAAGGTTAAACTATGCCAGCGATCCTTGCTGGTATATGACAGCGCATGTGTAACCCACACACCTCCTGGGTGTGGTGCTCTATCCCATGTAGTGGCATCGAGACCACTTAGAGAATAATGAGTCTGCTCTACAGCCAGGTGGCTTTTAGCACATGCTGTAGAGGCTCATGCAGTAAGCTCCAGAGGTCCCAGGTTTGATCCTGCCTGCTGACAATCAGGGTCTGTTGGTGTTACACATGCATAATAGAGGGTTCAGATCTGCAATGCAGCAGTGTGGGGACAAAGCCTGTAGACTTGTGCCTCCTAAGGCCATGCTAATCGGGTAGCAGGTGAACGGAAATAGGAGGTGAAGAGGGTGAATTGTTGGAAAAGGCCCAGTTCAAATGACGCCCTAGGCTCAGGCCCATAATTAAAGGTCACTACAGTGAGTTTGATATTGGGTTTTTGGGTTGCATCTGAACTAACTCGCCTCCTTTCATTCACTGGAAAATTAAAGGGGGGGAAATAATGGGCAATTTATTGTGGGCATGCACAAAGCAGCCCCTGGCATGGAGGCAATCTCTGCAGCGCGAGCGATCCTCAGCTGTGGAGCTGGGGCAATGGTCCTTGATGGGAGGAGATACTGTTGTACGTGATATTCTTGAGTCAGATTTGAAACTGACTAAGGGACACATGGCCAGAGAAGTCGTTCCCTCCCTGTTGCATGTCTGTCTTCATGCTGGGTCCTGGGAACAATCACTGCACGAGTGTTTCGGGAAGGGGTGTGGTGGTGGAACAAGACGCATCCCAAGATTCTTTAAGTCTTTTGATCCCTGTGTCCTTGGCTCAGGAGTTCCAGGTGTTAAAAATGGCAGCTGAGGAAAAGAGTTCCCTGTGTCCAAGCTTCCAGAAGGAACTGAGCTTCACCAAGTCTAGCCAGGCTGTGTGTGCCATGAAGGAGCTGCTGGTGACTGCATGCAAGAACCAGTGGGACCAATTGCTGGGGAAGGGGTATGAAGAGTCTTGTTTCCATGGGATGCAAGAAGGTGTGTATTTAGCCACCATGCGCTAGCTCCTTGTTGTGTGGGCCAAGGTTTATATTGCTCCCCAGCGTGCACACGGAGCATTGAGGCTCTTTAGAGTCCCCGTTTAACTTTTACAACTAGCAAATGAATGTGAGAAGCCCGCACCCTCAGGGCAGAACCGTGAAGAGCTCCCTACCCGGCCCCACAGCCTTGGAAACTGTACAGCATGGTTACGCTGCAACTGCATAATCAGTCTCTCAGTCAGCCTCTGCCATCTGGGCTCACACCTCGCTCTGGGGGTTTTATGAAGTTTCCACAACGACTAGAAAGTCAGAAGACAACAAACAGGCTTGGAGCTAGGTGTGGCTGGGTGGTTTGGGGAACTTCCCCCAAGAGGCTTCCTATGAAAGGGAGACTTGTCTCCTTTGAACACAGACCGACCACTTCATTCCCGGACTCTCCGTCCTGCCGGGGTGAGGGGGGGAAGCCGAAGCTGCTGGTTGAGTTTCAGACAGACTCAGGCAGCTCCATTTTAGCTTTTAATGACTGGTTCAGCTCTCCGTTGTTTGTAATTCTCCTGGAGACCCATCAAAATCATTCCCTTCCCAGCCCCACCCGTCTCCTCCTGCGGAACACATGTGGCCATTGCCTGCCATTAAGCCCAGTCCAACAGGGATCTGCCTTGTGTTGTGTATACTGTGTTCTGGCCTCAGCCTAGGAAGACAGAGCTGGGTTGTTAGTGCCCCCTATTGGCTGGCTGGCAGTGCAGCAGCAGGACCATCTGTCATAGGACCCTGCATGAATGTTACAGAGTCCCAGGGATGTTCCTTTTTTGGTCTTTGTTTTATATTTTTAAATGCAGGAGTAGCACGATGCACCCTGAGCTGTGAGGCCCGGGGCTTTGCACCTCCCTCTGAGATTCACGCAGCATCCGTTCACGGGGGCTTTGTTGCCTTTGCTGTTTAAGTAGCTCGATGGTGACGCCTTTTATTCCTCTCCTGGCAGCAGTCGCTGAGCTCCAACCTTCGGACAAATCAAACAGTCCAGCCTGCTTGGAGACAAGAGACTATTTCCTGAAATGTAAGACCCTGACTTTTGCTTTGGCTTCTGTTGCTAAGGTCAGTTACTGGATTTCCCCTTTCTGCTCAAAGCACTGATGACATGTAAACTTTCTGTACTGGCAGCTGCGTTTGTATGTCTGCTCCCTGGCAGGGTCTGGTCCATGTTGTTGGGATAAATACCATACAGCTAATAAAGGGAGTCCATTTGCCTTCCAGCAAAAGTCTTAAAAACTCAGCCTATATGTAGCTCTGCCAAACCAGTTCGGGGAGACCTAGCCAAGACGCTGTTGCACTTAAAGCGCTTTCCACTTAATTCAGATACAGAAGAATTTTATCTTCTGTTTAATTAGCTCGGAACCTCTGGAGTCAAATAATTTGTAATCAGAATAACACTAATTCCGTGCTATGTTTTGAATCAGTTTGATGGCTTCAGGCAGGTGGATAATTCGGTTGCTGAATAGATGAAGTTGTTAAAGCTGGACAAAATTCTGAATCAAAAGAGCCCAAGGAAGAGCCAGGCTAACCGAAGAGGGCTACAGTGAAAAGTTGCCTGATTCAGACACCGTGACTGACACTCAAAGCACTGTGCGGGGCTTGGCAAGCTGCCACACAAAGACCAGCTGTAGAACCAAAAGGGCTAGAAAGAGACTCGATCTGACAGACTGTGCTCCAGCAGCGCATGGTGGAGCACTAGCTCGCAGAGGGGGGAGAGGGATTGAGCTTGCATCCCTCCCAGTGAGCCATCTCTCGCCTTTACACTACTGTGGATCTCTGCTCTCTTCCCCCGGCTTTGTTTTCTGCTCCTCGTCTGTTCACGCAGACAGGGTTTTACTCACAAATCCAAGGGCGATTTTCTAGTGCTTGTCAACAGTCTTCTTGGAGGAGCTGCTGCACCACTCTGCTGGTCCCTCTCTGCAGGGAAGACGGGCCTGTGCAGATATGGATCCAATCCACGAACGCCTCATCCGGCGGGAAATTCAAGGACTTCCCTGTTCCCCATGACTCCTCTGCATCTCACTAGCAAGCTGGATCCCCTGGGCTTCGTGGATCTACACTCTGCCTTATTCCTGGGCGTGGGAGGGTGGCCTGTACTCTATCCCAACTGAACTCCTGTTTTGTAAACACCCAACAAGGCCCCAGGCCATAACCCTCCTTCTGACCAGACAGAAATCCCTTGGGATTAAATATTATCCTTCTGGGGCCAATTACTGCTGCTCCAGTATTCAGTGGTAGGAGGCCTATTGCTTCCATGTCCCCCCAGCCCCTTGCTGCCCTAGAGAACAAGACCAGCCATAAAAAATCTGTTGGTTCTTTCAAAGTCAGTATCCATGGTGGGTACCTGCTCAGCTTCTCAGTGCAAGGGCATGTGGTCAATTTATTGGGGGTAGGGTTGAGTCTGTGCAGTTCTCTGCAGCATTAAGAAGCTCTTAATGGATAAATCTGCTGCATGGTAAATTCAGAATACGCCTCTTAACCTCTCTGCTAGACAGAGAGAGCTGGTCTTTCATGTTGTTTCTGGCCCTGCTAATAATCTGCTGCCTTAGTCTGTGACTAATCACCCTAACACGCACCATCCGATCAGACACTGTATGTTAGCTGCAATCAGCAGGAATGCTTTTGCTTTCTATAGGCAGGGTTGAATTCCTAGAGGGGTGGGGGTGGCGGGAAGTTCTCGGGGCAGGGCTCTCTGCTCTGGAATTCTCCTAATGATCATCCAGCAGCCAGTAGGACACCGTACTAAGGGCATGTCTACGCTGCAAGGGAAGGTGTGATGGTAGAATGCATATGCATACCCGCACTAGCTTTACTCCAGCTAGTACAGGTAACAACAGAAGTGGAGATGCAGTAGCATGGGCTAGCAACCAGGCTGCCCAGCAGGCTCCTGCTCTATAGCTAGCCTGTGTTGAAGCCCATGCCATCACATCTACGCTACTATGGTTATCCGTGCTGGCTAGAGTAAAGCTAATGCGGGTATCCCCCTCCCGCATGCTACAGTCACACCTGTACTTGCAGTGTAGACATACCCCAAGACGCATCTCTTTAGCTTTGCTGATTTGGGTCAATAGCTGCGTGGGTGTTTATTGTCATTTGGGCCAGGGGGTGGGAAATACCTCTGCCCGGATATTGGAGAGCGATAATACGGAAACAGACCTGGTAACGCTAGCCACTGAAACTCACCACTTGGGGCTAAAGGGGGATGGGATGCTCTGTGCTAAATTCTATTCTGATTCTCTCTTGTGTTTGCTTGTCCCCTCCTTCACAGTTGCCTTCATCATCGATTTGGACAGCGACACCGCGGACAAGTTCCTCCAGCTGTTTGGAACCAAAGGGGCCAAACGTGTATTGAACCCCATCGGCTACCCCGAGAGCCCAACCAGATTCATCAACTGTGAGCAGGTGCTGGGCGAGAACCTGATGAACCGAGGCAACTACTACTGGGAGGTGGAAATCATCGACGGCTGGGTGAGCATCGGCGTCATCGCCGAGGACTTCAACCCGCGGGAGTCCTACGACAGAGGCCGCCTGGGGAGGAACGAGAAATCCTGCTGCCTGCAGTGGAATGGACAGAACTACGTGGCCTGGTTTGGTGGCTTCGAATCTGTTATCCAACAGCCCTTCTTTCACACGATCGGGGTGTACCTGGAGTATTCGGAAAAGGCACTGACCTTCTATGGGGTCAGGGACTCCAAGATGACGTGTCTCCAACAGCTCAAGGTTGCCCGCTTCAAAAAAGGCCACTTTGACCCCTTCCAGAATAAGATCAACCACCAGTTCCCATTGCTGTTTGCATATAACCTCAAACCAGCCTTTTTCCTTGAAAGCGTAGATGCCCATATGCAGATCGGGCCGTTGAAGAAAGATTGTGTTTCAGTGTTAAAGCGGAGGTAACTTGCAGAGAAGACTCAGGAGTCTCTCTTGTAATTGTTTACCAGCACCATGGCTTATATAGTCTTCTCTCTGGAATAGCCCTGCCAACCCACTCTAGCCCTGTGCTGTTTGTAACCCAGGGGTTAACAAACAGAAGTCGCCCCTTAGTGAATAGAGACCTGGACTGCGACTCAGGAGACCTGGGTTCTGTTTCTGGCTCTGCCATTGCGTGACTGTGGGTAAGTCATGTCACCATTCTGTGCCTCAGTTTTCCCCTCTGTAAAATGGGAGTAATTATTATTAACCTGCTTTGTAAAGTGCTTTGAGATCTACTGAGGAAAAGCAATAGATAAGAGCTAGCTATTATTATTATCTTTAAAAAACGGGCATTTTAGGATGGCCTATCCCTGCCAGCCCTCCGTTCCTAACCAAGAGGATATAATCTTAGTGACCACTCTGATTGTGTGATTCCACAGTTATTCTGCTCTGTGCCTTAGTCCACACTGTAAATGCGGGATGGTCGCTTAATATGTGTTAGCCCCCCTACGCCTTCAAAATCTGCTTTCTGGACGAACGCCTCCTAGACAATGCTTTAAAAACAGCAGGTACAGCATGGGCTTCACAAATACAATGCTCTACACAGAACAGTGCATGCTTCCCCAGCACTGCACCACCAGCGTGCCTCAACCTTATTCTGGAGGGACCATATTTAAGAGTGAGAGTGCCCCCTCCTGCCCCCCCAAGCCATAAATGTGCTGCTCATAAAGACACCTCATGTCCCAAAGCAGGGAGGTGATAGACCAGCACCGATGAGATCACACCTAGAATGCTCAACTGAGTCCAACACGCCTCCACACCAGAAAGAGGGAGACCGGAATTCAGAGAAAACCAGCAAGAATAACTAAGGGTGTGGGAGGGCTGGGCTGGTTGAGGAAAGATTAAAAGAAGTCCTGGATTGGCTGCAGGATGACGATGGGGCATGACTCCGATGCACAAGGATGTAACCTCAGTTTAGTAAGAATTGTTAGGGGTGGTAAGGAGGGCTATAACTAGGAGGAAAGGGATGAAATTAAGGATAATGAAAGCTGAATATCAGGGAAACTTCGTAATAGCGAGATCTTTTCTTTTGTGGAATAGTCTCCCAAGGGAAATGGTGGAAGGCCCCATCAGCTGAATTATTTAAAAGCGGTTTGGATAAAAGACTTAAAACTATACTGTGTAGAACAATCTCGCATTAGTCAGGAGATGGAGGAGGTGAACGAATGTTGTAGAACTTATCCCTCTCTAGCTTCTGAGAGAGGTTCATTCAATTCTTGGCTTCTTCAGTGGGACTGCCAACTCGTCTAGCCCCCATTGCGATGTCACCCGTCCACTAAAACTGGTCTGGGACCACCAAGCTCATTTTCACATAGTCCACCAAATAACCATCCAGATGGTAACAACTTTCAATATGGGATGGATTTGAACTGGTGACACAGAGATGAAATATCCCAAATCCCATTGCCAATCCCCTGAACAAAGTGATGTTATATGTAAAGGGAAACGAATGACGTCTGTGATGTTCATGCAAACCATCTATATATGCATCATGAACATCATCTTCTGCAGATGCTTTGAATGTTGGTCTGTTGCATTTGGGAAAGAAAAATATTCCTATGGGCATTATGAGGCCAGTCCTGAACGCCTTACTTAGGCTAAAGTCCAATTGACTTACACTGGAGCAGCTCTGGGCCCTCCATCTGCTTCCCAGTACTATAAAATATCCCAGCCAGTGGGATGAAATAGCTGCTAGTGAGAGACTCCAGCACCATTTACTGGCTGGAGATCCTGAAATAGCAGTAGTGGTATTTATGAAAATTCACTTTTAACAGATAGTTTCTTATCCAGGAACTATTATTTAGTTAATTAAGGCATCGCTGCAGGATTCCTTTTCTGTTATAATCACATCCCTACTTTCTTGGGAACTTTAGTAGCATTAAAATCCCAAACTCCTAAAAGACTCCAGTTAGTGCAGTTCCTTTTTAGTTATTAATATACCCCAGTGTAGTTTATAAAGGGTTTTAAATGATTAATAGATGTGATAAGTTGTTACAGATATAAATAGCGTGTGTTATAGAAGATGGTTATCAGCACCTTAGTAGAAGCTGTTCTAGGTGGTTGTAAGTCCTGGTTAAAAACAACCTACTGACCTGTTGGATTGTGACAATCTGTAACCTTTCATTAACTATATATTAAAACATCTGTTAATTATGTATTAACCATTTATAAATGTATCCTTAATATAAAGGATGGTGAAGAATCCCTTCTGAAAAAGGTAGAAAGGAAAAGAGAACTTTCAAGAGCACATTTCTCAAGCCACCTTCTCAAATATACCCTGGAGATATATAATAGCTGGAATGAATTACTGTCACATCTATGCACTGCAGTAACTTCATCTCCTACATGTCTCAGTGTTATATGCATTGCTATGAGTTCATTTTCTCTGATATTAGTTTATCACCTACCTCCTAGAGCTTGCATTATAAAAAAAAAAAAAAGAAATCTAGTGTACTGTATATATGTAGAGAGAAAGTAATTGGGTCAAATTCACCACAGATGTAACCCGCTTCCAGTAGGGATGAATTTGGCCCATCAACTGCTAAGATGGAGTTAAGGCTGTAAATACATAGAAATATATTCAAGGAAAAAGCCTTAATAAAATGCTGTAATTAAAAAAGAAGTCCAAAGGCCAGGAAATTCACAGTTGAAATTACAGGTACATCTCCCAACATGGAGGCCTGGTGAAATGCACCCACTCGCCTTCTGAAAATAGTCAAAGGCTCCAGTCCTCTGAAGGCCAACAGCTTCAGAAGACCTGGGTTCTGTTCCCAGAACTGCCAGAAGCCTGCTGGATGACATTGGGCAAGTTACTTCCCAGGTCTGTGCTGCAGCTTCCCCATCTGTAAAATGGGCATAATGATCCTTACCTCCTTTGTAAAATACTTTTGAGATCTACTGATGAAAAGTGCTAGATATAAATATATATTGATATATATATATATATATATATATATATATATATAAAAAGCTAGGAATTATTATTATATGGTGATTTTTGAAATATTATGAGCTATTGAAAAAAAGATTAGCAAATTCTTCAAGAAGTGCAAACACCTTGGATGAAATCTTGACCCTGTTTAAGTCTATAGGAATTTTGCTATTGATTTCAATGGGGACAAGAGTTCACTTCTTATGTTTTTAACTCTTATTTCTGAAACACGGTGTCTTTTTTGTGTCTGACTTTGCATAAAATCTCTAATGTAGCATGAGACGATATTTGTGCCATTTCATGAGGATTGCTTTAGTTTTGGCGAAGCTGGAGGGTTGGAAATGGCTATATAAGCAAAAAGCTAGATTCAACCTTCACAACAGAGAAGCTATCCATAATGCAATGAGAGGGGAAAATAAGATATTAATCTCTGTACTTCTGCTTAATATGTGCAGTAAGGGCTCTAGGACACTTGCTTAAGTCTTTATCGGCTAATATAGCTCTCTCTCATGGGCCAAATTCTGACCATGCTACTCAAGCAAAGCTCCCATTAGCTTCAACAGGAGTTTTGCCTGACTGTGGGCTGCAGGAGTGGGCCCCTGGTTCCATCTGTGTATCAAAGAAGATGACTTAATTCCTTATTAGAATGAATGTGTCTTTGGCAGAGGGTCTGTTATGCAAAGGTGGGCATTCCCCATTTTCCCAGTTGCCCGTAGCAAAGATGTATGTCACACGCCCTGTCTGTGGTACTCATTCAGGAGATTAATCAATTAGGGTGATCCTAAACTTTTGTCTTTCCCCTGTGTATCTGCATAACTTTTTTCCCATCCTGGGCTTCAGCGGTGAAGGCAGTGGCAGTACTCAGGAGGCAATGATGTCTAGCAGTTAGAGCAGGGCATTAGGAGTTGGGAGAATTGGATTCTGTTCCTCGTTCTTCCACTGACTTGCTATGTGACCCTGGGTGAATCACTTAACCATTCTGTGCCTCTTTTTCCCATTCTGTAAAATGGGGATACTAATACCTGGCTTTAGAAAGGGCTTTGAGAACCACTGTTGAAAGGTGCTATATAAAAGGGAAGCCTTATTATATTACCCTCCCCGTGGATGGAAGAAAATGCTGATGTAAGACTTCAGAACCACTCCATAAGCAGCCACTAGGGTAGTGCAAAATGCAATGCATGGCAGGAAGCTATTGACATGGGCCCTTCTCAGCCCTGTGATAAGCAGTTGCAACTTCCATTGTGGCTGGTATACCTGCTTACCTCCATGCCTGAACTTGGCCTATTCTTGGCAGGCCAAGAATTCTATGGCAGGTTGGAGAGGATGAGTTCCAAGGTCAACCATGAAACCAGTGCCCTGCCCAACAGTGAATAACGCTATCCATTAGGCCCCACAAATAATTGGTATGTCCATGAAATGAAACAGTAGGATTTTTACAGAGAACCTGCTATAAATGCTCTTCCACATTTGCCTGCAATAACTTGTGAAAGTAGCTTTAATAAAAGACAGCCGTTGAGCTGATTCATTTTATCACAGCTATACAATTTGCTGCATTTTAAGATGAATATCCCCTGCCTATTCTTTCAGTCCATTAGGAAGAAAGATAAACCCTCATGTTTCAGGGCACAAACCAAACTCTAACTATCAGGGATAGGAAGAAAGTTCACCCTGTCGGCAGTTTATTCAATAACTTCCCTCTTCAAGATTCCTCTGGTGCATCTGATAGTATTTGGAGACAGGGTACTGGATTAGATGGACCACTGGCCTGATCCAGGATTAAAATCCCTATGTTCCTAACATGCATGGGGTGTAAACTGGAATGATCAGGAAATTCACACTGAACCAGGCCTGGATCTATCCTCTGCTTTTCCAAAAGCAACAGGATAAATCCAATAAGCGGCTATTAAACAGCATTGTGCAATTCTGAGTGTCTGTTTTTTCTTGAGCAATTTTCACCTCACATAGAGATCTTCTTTTTATTTAGGATTTTTTTAGGTATACAATTACTGTATTAAAGTGTGTGAGGAAACTGTAACAATAATATAATGCTATTAAAAATGTTAACTACCATTAAACAGTGTACAAACATCATAATGTACTGGATTGTCTTTCCTTACAAAACAAAACGACTGAATTATTTGGCCATCTTGTCATTGATTGTTCTGAGTTTTTTTAATGCTGGATAAGACAATGGAGATTTGTTTCCAAGTGATGAATGGTTATCAGTAATCATCTTGCAGCAATAGGGACTGACCTCCATTTTATCCATAGTGCAAACAGGAGCTTTCTCAGCCTGCTCCACCAGTAATCTTAATTCTGACCCAGGCACCAATTAGGAATCAGAAATAGCTCTGTCTCCATTTTATCTCAGCCCTGCGCTGCTCTCTGGTAGATTCTGCCAACTACACCAAATATCACTGGTGGATTTGCAATGTGATGTACAAACAGTTCTCACTTATGGGATCATAAACTGGATGTGAGCCCAGAAAAAATGAGTGTTTTTGCCATTACTGAGCCAGCTAGAAAATTTCCTTAGAAAAAAACATGGCGTGAATCACAACAAAATACATTGGTTCAAAAATAACTTGTAACTTAGATCGTGCCAAAGCGCTTTACAAACCTAAACGCTCACCCGCGAAGTGCAGCTGCTCAGCAGGGCACAAGCAACACCACAAATCATTTTAAGCAAGGAGGAGTGCTGTGTCCAAGTGAACCATTTCTTGCCAGTTCAAGAGAGCTCCAAATCTGGTCAGAAGCAAATGTTAGCAGAAGATATTTATGTTTCCAAACACTCTTAAGAACTGTCCCCAGAAAGATGAGAATAAATCTTTGGATTATCCCTACTACTATAATATAGAAAAATATAGACCCAATGGGGTTTAATAGAAAAGAGAAAATCTGAACTGCCTTTTTAGCTCAGTTCTCTGTTGAGGCTAGTGATGGTTTAAAAGCTAACAATTTGCCTCTTGTTCCCAAATTAATCCTGTGGAGAATTTGCAGTGTATAATACACCCAGTTCTAACCAGTCCTCTGCTCCTTAGTTTCACAAAACAGTCTCTCAGGCACACTGAGGCTGAGCATCTGAAAGAGGAATTTGGAAACTAATTTCTTGTTTATTTAAAAAATACGCTATGCTCAAGCAATTCTATGTGTCCCTCCACTGCTCTGAGGGAGGAACCTACTTGTTGCTGGGGAGCGTAGCAGACAAAAGAGCAAGACCCACAAAACAGATCTAATCCAACCCTCCCAAGCAACTAACTTCTTCTTTATATTGACAGGTTTCAGAGGAACAGCCGTGTTAGTCTGTATTCGCAAAAAGAAAAGGAATACTTGTGGCACCTTAGAGACTAACCAATTTATTTGAGCATGAGCTTTCGTGAGCTACAGCTCACTTCATCAGATGTTTACCGTGGAAACTGCAGCTTCCACGGTAAACATCTGATGAAGTGAGCTGTAGCTCACGAAAGCTCATGCTCAAATAAATTGGTTAGTCTCTAAGGTGCCACAAGTATTCCTTTTCTTTATATTGAATACTATTTCTGAGTTGTTCAGTGGCTGTTTTCTTTCCTCCCAGTTCCTTCTGCGTTGGTGCCACTTGTTTTTAATAAAAGTAGTAACAATTTATTTAAGTCTAGGATCTATGGGACTTTTCAGGCTGCAATGTTCCCAATGTGATGCAAATTTGACAATCTCAGCGTTGTGTTGGTGCAGCCTTGTGGAGTCCTGTACATCCAGGGTCAGGCATTGGTTTAATTAGATGTACGTGAATATTTGGATGCTACTGTCAAAATTGTGTTGTTAAATTTAGTCACCTAAATTTGGGTTATTGCTGATTATGTACTATATGTATCTTATGACTTTTAAAACAAACTGTGTATTTGTGGATAATCTAAGCACTATACCCAGATGTACAGACACGCTTTTCTTAATCTGTATATTATATATATATTTTAACATTAGCTTTAATAATATTTTAAGGGACAAGCATAGTGTCATGATGGAGATGTTTGTGGCCATGGTGTTGTTTGCACCAGCCTGCAGGGAGATGTCAGCACATCACAAGACGCTGACTCCTCCACGTGGGGTCCTTCTGTTCAATGAGATGGGGCGACGTGTTGACTTTTTGTGGGTCCATGACCTGAGATATTCTTGGGGCCAATGAGCAGTGGGGGTGGGACACGGGGCCATGGGCCTGCCAGAGGAGGGAGGTCCCAGCCCATTTGGATGGACAGGACTCCTACAAACTACAGGGCACTCCGCAAGGGCCGTACCCTTGAGAAGCACCTTCCCCCTAAGAGTGCAAGACCCCATGCAGCCCCACCCCATCGGCAGCCTTGGGGAACATAGCAGGCCCACTGCAGATGGGGAAGCAGAAGGCCAGCCTAAGGCCACCTGCTACAGTCCATGCCATGCTCCACGTCCCTTGGAGCAGACCATGGAGACTACATGCAAACGCCCATCGCAGAGGGAGCCATGGTAACTACAGGTCCCAGCATGCAACACTTCACCTCTA